AAAAAGCCCTTTATTTCTTAATAAACTTGTAAATAAGTTTATTAGTTTTGTTAGTTTCAAGAAAATTTGTAGTTTAATAATTAATTGTTATTGTATTTTCAGTTTTATATAAATAATTTTAGATACGTTATTATCATACATATAGTATAAACCTATTGAACATTGGTATTATTGACTATTATATACTATTAATATAGAGATCTATAGTATCGATATTTAAGCAAAACTCAATACTATTGAATTTTGTGGTATTATAGCAAATTTTCAATACGATAGTTAGCCCTATCGATATTCTGACTAGTATTCGCTGTCAACTATCGATACATCAACAATCGGAAAGTAATAATAATATTTACGGATATCAGACACACAACGCCATCTAGTTTCAAACTAAGCAGAACTTGTAAGTAGGCAACACTATTCCAAATATGATACTATAATAAAGCTTTCATGTCCCGTGCGCCGTATTTATTTAAAAAGGCAATTTCTTATATGGAGTACAGAAGTTTCATAAAAGCTCAGAATTGCATTCATAGAAGGGAAAATCAAAAAAATCGTGCACTATCTGTGTACGTACTTACTGGTCAAGATTCGGACAAACTTGGCGGTATATATGTGTGGTGACGGATTAAGAATACGGAGTGTCACCACCCCTATTTATCCCGTGGGTGTCGTAAGAGGCGACTAAGGGTGCAAACTACGCAGGACAACAGCACTGCAAAGAGAAGGAAAACTTGACGCAAACCCTATACCAAACCGTCTGGCCAGCGTGGTATAGTAGGCCAAAACCTCCTTAGGAGAGGCCTATGTCCAGCAGTGGTCTGTTAAAGGCTGTTGATGATATATTACTACTAGTAATCTTAGACATTATATCAGACTATTAACTTTTTGAGATTCTGAATTCGTACACCGCCATCTAGAAACTAAACCAAACAATCGATTGAACTAAAAGTAATTGAACAGTGTGGGTAGATGGCGCTATTGTAGCTTGAAAGCATATACACTCCCTTTCTAAGTAATAACTCAAACACATTTTTAAATATAGATTTTAATAGTTTAATACAAATAACTTCTCTCTACATTTACTCCGCCTATAGCAGATAACCAATTCGATATCATACCTTCCGCTACACTAGCGACATAACGGTCGGCTCTTGAACTTAAAAATATAGTTTAACTTCTAAATGAGACAAAGGTTTTTCTTACATTTAATGTATTATTATCATAATATTTATTCAGATAACATATTTAAAAATGCAGGTTTTAAGCACCAAAGTAAGGGAAAAGAATAAAAAGAAATGACATGTCGCAGGACATATCAATTTTTTTTGAAATTATAAATATAGCACACTTAAAAATATAGCTACACCGTATTATGTGTTACATGTTATATCACAGAGCGTGGCGACGCCTTCCGCCGGTCTGACATTAGATGTATCACGTCACAAAATCAAGCAGATTAAAAAAAATGGTATTATAGGCTTGTGTCCACTAATAACAAATTGCTTGTTTTATAGTTTAAAATTATAAATGAAGGGACATAGATAAGAAAAAAGCAGTCTATTTCAAATAAAAGTTTAAAAAAAAACGATCAAAATAGGTATTAAGTCACGTGGCAGCGAACACCAATCAGAAAGTGTTACGTCACGCCACGCAAAACATCATTGTTGTTGTTGACGTTTTCATACAACAGAGCTGGTTATTCCTTATTAATTCTTAGATAACAGTTGACACTGGACACAGATGTAAACAGTCTTATTTCGCAGACTGTGACGTCATTCAAGACGCCATGACACTATTCAGCGTTTTCAAGGGAAAATTAAATTGTTTTTTTTTTAATACAAGATACGTAATGTAAATATTTCTTTTTCTTTAAAATATAGGTGTTTTGGGATAAAATAGATATTAAAGTATATAATTAATCAAGTTTTCAAATTGAGTGAACCAGCCTATTATGTCACCGTGATCAATGTATTTTAAAATCTTTATTAAAAAATAATTAAATGTCAAAATTGATAGTTATACATGTTTTTTAATCCTTTTAAATCCGCGCTTTAAAAGATTTTACTCTAATATTATTTACAACTTAACAATACTAAACGTTGGGACGCAGATTGCCTGACATGGTAACTTAGTCAGGGGGTCCCCCTTTTGTGTTGAAAGTACCTACATAAACATAACACCGTATTTTTGTACGTCAGTTAATCAAAAAGTATTTGTTTTGTAATGAGGTTAAAATCGTACTGCCAGGGATAATGAAGGTTCTGCTGCCAACATATATTTATTACTAGCTGGTGCCGGCGTCTTCGTTCGCGTGGAATTTGAAAAGCGCTGCCTTAGTGAGTTCGATTCTCGGCAAAATGTTATGTGCACCAGGGACTTCCTTTCTAGGGTATACCTGGTTCCCCGGCTATTAGTACCCGAGACGGCGTGCGGTTTTAGTCGGCTCGAGTCCGACATGCCACCGATAGGTGGTTTCCGAGGGGATTTCCGCACGGAAAAAAAAGGGTGTTTCTGTGAGAAAAAATAGCCTAAGTTGCTCCTTATATAGACAGCTACTTGGTAGTAAAATATTATCAAAATCAGTGCATCCTTTTTGAAGATAAAATATTCAAACTGGTTTTTAGGCACAGATATGCAAATAACCGTGTAAGCATGAAAAAAACCTATTATTTTGACATTGCAAACAGACACTTCAATTTTATTTATTTGTATAAATGATGTTACCTGATGGTATTCAGAGATCTCTTTACCCTACGACGCTAATTAACAGATCCTTTTATTACAATAAAACTTCAAGTAAATATACACTTTTGAGATTATTTTCGGCGTTAAGTACAATTAGGATTTAAGATGATGGTTGACAGTCATCATAACTTAATATAATATAATACAAAATAAAACTTAAGAAATATATGGCGGGTGTATGTATCAAATAACAAATTTTTAAAATATTATGTACGTTTTAACTAGTTCATTCGTGCGAATAATTCACGCTGCGTATCAGTCAATGAACACTGAATGTTTGAACGAATGAATGATAGACTACGCTTACGTAATACCTTAACTCTAACAGCTGTCGAGCGAGTTAGTTTAACATATTGTTAATAGACGGCGCTTTTAACAAAAAACAAACTGTTTGAATACATTACTTTTTGATATTATTTAAAATTATTTATCAGTCTAGATTATTTTTATAGTTTTAGAGATTCCGGATAGATATCCTAGTTGCCTATTCAACCACAGGACAAAACTTATGAGTACAGGACAAGAGCCATGGTATAATGGGCAGACCTGATGACAAGTGAGTACCACCGCCAATGGACCTGCAACTCAGAGACAAATCCATCCCTCTAGAATCAGGGTGGGGATTTGGCTCCAGTTATCTCATTTACTGTGTAAAGCAACGAATGAATTGCTCAACAGCGGTTTTCTGTGAGAGGTGAATGTCCATTTGTGCCGGAGCATGTCTCCTCCATGTTCAATACCGTCCCACTGTAGTGTCAGTCCTTCTTGTGGTATACCTTACCCTAGCTACTTCCTCCTATCCATGGTCCTTAACGAATTTTACCTTACCCTTTTGTCCTGTTCGTAAAAATATTAGTATGGGTCAGAAGGCTAATTCTTGTAATAAAAGTTCGATCACAATTCAGTTCCGATCAACTTTCGATCTCACAACTGTCAAACAAGGTATTTTCGTAGTTTTTGGAACGAAGTTCCTTATCGCGCGTTGTGAAAGGGGGCTAGACGGAAAACATTCTTACGAAAATTGGTCACGACACTTTTTGCTATAGTAAGCTGTGCGGCGTCGCATGTTTCTCTGTCTGTCTCTCTCTCTCTCTTATAGAAAGCAAGCCAGATATTTTCATTTCTATCTTTTTATGTCAGTCATTCAGCGCCATCTATCGAATAGATAGGAAATCATTTCTCAAGGAGATTTTACCAATGTATAAATTGTTTTAATTAGAAACCAACTGAAAAATATGTAGGTAATAGCCGCTTTCATAGATGGCGTTGTAATTAAAATGTGCCGAATCAGTTTTACTCGATCGTTACAACTTCATTCCTATCGGTTGTCCCACAACACCACACGGTTTTTTTTTATGTTAGAGGGGGCAGACGAGCAGACGGGTCACCTGATGAAAAGTGACTATCGCCGCCCATGAACGTCTGCAACTCAGGAGTCACAAACGCGTTGCCGGCCTTTTAGGAAGGAGTACGCTCTTTTCTTGAAGTATTAAACATACAACGTTGACTTTAATGTGATTATATTGTATTGTAACAGAAAATTGAATCAGTAATTTGCTAGTCTTAGTAATACTTTATTATTTTACTACGAAAATACATTTTATGACAGTTGTGTGATTGGAACTGTTTGTTTTTTAAGACAACTCCCTAGAAATATATCCTGTGTCGCGGGGGACTTTACAAACATACATGAAGCGGACACAAAGAACACTCAGCGTAGTAGTAAGCGGCGTGGCGACCGCTTAAACCACTACGCCATCCGTGCAGTCGAGTCGAATTGAGTTCGCACTATTATTTACGAGAATTGGCCTTCTGTGGATATGATCTAACATGTCACGTACGACCTGACGGACAATCCTGGCCACGCCACTCAATGGTCAAATCAAGTAACGGGTTCCCTGGGTTCATCAATACCAATCATGTCTTAGAGTCGTATCTAAAATGTAATGGGCTAAATAATTGCATGATATTTTTTTATGATTAGAATATGTTTATGATAAAAATAAGAGATTCTCTATATAATAAGATCATAATTGGGCTTCCCTTAAAATATTCGAAGAAATACAATATCTAATAGGTCATCTGAAGGTAAGTGACTACCGCCGCCTACTGACACCTGCAACTTGGGAGACACAAGTGCGTTTATATCTTTCGAACCTCCTATTCCCTCCTCACCTAGAATTAAGAGGAGGGGGAGGTTGGTTTGCCATATATGCCGAAGCATGGCTCTCCCAAGAAGGGTTTAGATACTTTTATACAGTATCAAATGGAAGACTATTTGTAACAGGGTATGGTGAAGCCAGGTTAACCAACTGACCGTTCTGGAGTTGAACATCTAAACCACCTAATTTGCGTTTCTTTTCATCACTCTTCTGCTTAAAGGCATCCAGCCAGGTGATGCTGTACGAATTTCTTTCCAGAGCCCTGTCTAACTTTTTCCAGAAATTCGGATCCCCCCATAGAAGGTAAGTGTTCGTCTTTATATACGCCTTCAATTCAGCAGAGAGCTTTGAATGCCGTGACAACTCCTCATCAAGTAATATGAGAATAATTCTAGAAGAATTCTCTTGCCGAGTCAAATTGTGAGCCGTTAAAAATTCCAAATTCGCCCACATTGATTCCAGAAAGTTCTTTGAGAGAACTATAATCGTTTTTCTAGAATTTTCCACCGACGCATTTATTTGTGTCGGTATCAACTCCCCGACAACCCAATCCCGATAATGAACGCAAACATTTTGTCCAAATTCTTTCTCCAATTTCGGCAGCAGAATGTCTTGTACCAAAGCCAAGTCTTCGTGAGCGAAAGATATAAAAACATCGTATATCTTGTCAGATTTTATATTTTTGACGCAACTTTTGCAAATACCCCTAGTTATCATGAAGATGATGATTTCATTAAAGTATTTGTATATGATGATACTTGTGAAGACAGCACAAAAAAGGATGCTGAGACAAATGCCTAAGGACACGGCAAGAGCCTTTTGCATATTGCAAAGGCTTTGCACATCCAATTGATCAATGGGCCCTACACCATCACACGTTGCGTTGTATACGTATTTATAACTTTTAAGCGTGGCGATATATTCCGCGTTCCCACAGTTACATTCGAGAGAATTATTTACTAGGTACAGACTAATATTGGCTTCTAAAAACGCCACGGGTACAACCTTAATATCGTTATAAGACAAATCGAGTACTTTAAGATCCTTAGAAGGTTTAAAATCGATACTCTTTAAGCCAGCGTTAGATAAATCTAATTTGTGTACGTTAAAACCATGTAACGATATCGGTGGACGTTTAGATTTCACAGTAATAGTTGGCTCTCTATTAAAATATTCAAGTAACGCAACGTGTTTAGTGTCTGGCAACTCTGTTGGGAATTTGGGACAGTTCAATATTAATTCGTTTGTATCAGGTTTAGCTAGGGTTGTGCAACTGTCTGAAATAGTATCAGATATCTCGCAAACGAGACTAGAAACTGGCACGTCTTTTATACGGACCCCTTTTAGGTCTAGAGGGAGGGAGCACCTAGCGTCGTTTACAATTAATTTTGGTTCTTTGGGCATATATACATCCCCATCAAGTCTTAATTTCACGCCGTACATGTGACAATCACATCTGAAAGGGTTATAGTCTAATAATAACTTTCTTAGCTGTGGTGCAGAATCTCTCTCGTATGTTCCAGGGTTGACCAAGATTCGGTGTATCTCGTTGTTTCTCAAATCCACTGTTAAATTAGAACTTATGAAGTACGTAGCTGCAGGATCTTGGTCGAACTGAAAGAAGATTAGCTATCGTTAATTTATATGTTTGACAATTTTATTAATTTAATTTAATTATCATTTAATACTAAATTAGTGTTATTTTAAAGCTCACAGACTTAAATGATAACCATTAGAATGACATAAAAGCGGATGTAGAGTATACGGATATTTGTAAGGCCTTCGATAAGGTCAACCTTAAATGTCTTGGTGGATTTTAGGGTTTAAATGTAGCTATGTGGAATTAGCTGATTACTTTTATATCTATATCACATCCATATCACATTTAATAGGATATAGTAAGTAAGTAAGTAAAAGTCCATATTGTCCATAGTGTGCATGGAGTACCTCAAGGCACAATACTAGGTCTTTGTAATTTTGTCACAACACTCGTATGAGTGTTGTCACAACACTCGTATGAGTGTTGTCACAACGCTCGTATGAGTGTTGTCACAACACTCGTATGATTCCGTGTCTTGAGATCGGCTTCTCGTACGAGAAGCCGATCTCAAGACACGGAATAGGACAAATGACGCAATATGTTATTGTGGCACAAACTATTTTCAATTTTCCTAATAAAAATTGTGATTTTTAAATAGACTTACCATTATGGTTGTAAATTTGTTATAAGACAGATTCAAGTTCTCCAACTGAATCATATCTAATCGCCAATCGTCAAAAATGGTACTTATCTCATTGCCACTAAGATTCAAATTCTTCAATTTCGTTAGAGTTGCAAATGGCGATATATAACTTCTGGAGCTGTTGTTCAAAGTGCTATAGCCTACGTTCAGGGATAGTTTGTTGCCACCCAGTGACAAGGTTTCGAGCTTGGAAAGTCCATAAAACGTGGTTGAAGCTATTGATACAATGCTATTATGGTCAAAATGTATCTCTTTAAGGTGAGTGAGACCCGCGAATAAATCACTGGAAATAACAAAAAAAACATCGTACATAAAAATAAGAATAAGGAGTATCAACATCTCTGTTCATCCCGTGGGCGTCGTAACAGACGACTAAGGGAGCAAACTACGTAGGACAACAGCACTGCAAAGAGAAGGAAAACTTGAAAAAACCCTATACCAATCCGTCTGGCCAGCGTGGTATAGTATGCCAAAACCTCCTTTTTATGGAGAGGCCCATGTCCAACAGTGGACTGTTAAAGGCTGTTTGTGATGATGAACAAAAAATTCAAAATTATATACAGTCACGTCTATATTGCTAGACATAGGCATCTCCCATTGCACGCCACTTAGATCGATTTTGGGCTTCTCGCATATAGCTCCTGCCAGCCATCTATGATTGGCTGATAATGATGATGACGTCTATATTACCGAAGGGGCAGAGAACCGTATAAAAGCCTAGATTTTACAGACGGCACGGATAGCGCCCAATTATAGACGAAAAACCACACCCCTTCTTACTGCGCTGAGTGTTGTAGGTTCGATACTTGTTCTTAGTCTGGGTGTTCTTTGCGTCAGTTTCATGTATGTTTGTAAAGTCCCCGGCGACACAGGATATATTTCTAGCGCGGTCTTTTAAAAATTGATATAAAAAGCTATACATAATTTAGATTCCACTTTTCTTTATAGATCTGATAGAAAGTGACTACCTCCATCCATAGACACGTGCAACACACAAGATATAAGTGCTTTCCACTTTGAGTTTCTTCCCCGAAGTGGAACGGCTGGACCGGTGTGCTACTAAACAGGTACAAGGTACTAAGCAATGCCTACGGTGCACTATACCGTGTAAACGAAATAATTTTAGGTCCAACCTTCCTGCCCTCAAATTTAGTGGAAGGAGGCGGCAACGCATTATGTAGTGGTAGTCACTTTCCATCAGACCAATTTCTTAGGGTTCCATGGATTCACCGTGCGGTTGCCGGGTCCATCGCGTGATGAATGGGGCCAACACATGCGACTTCGACAGCCCCTGGGAATTGCGACCCAGGTATAGGTTTACGTTCAAGTCCACTGTCTGCTGAGTTACCCCCTCTAATAACAAGTCTGCTCGTTTTGCCGCAATATTATAGAAAATACCAGCGGACTCGACAGACGTTGTCCTGAACACACGTTATATCCGATTTTTTTTTAACTAAAAACACATATTGTACTGCACAGAATTGTGAATCTAAACCATTACCGAATGCACTGGAGCGCACACAATTTTTTTTTATCGAAATCAGTCCATTCCTTTAGGACACATCCAGTCACATAAACCAAAACTAGGCCAAAACCTCCTTTCTAAGGAGAGGCTTATGTCCAGCAGTGGACTGTTAAAGGCAGTCACATACACAAGCACAGAAGAATTATATTTTATAACTAGCTGACCCGGCAAACGTTGTTTTGCCATATACATTATTTCTAGAAAAAAAAATTAGGAGTAGGGTCTTCGTCGCCCTTATCATTTAGGGGTATGAAAAATAGATGTTGGCCGATTATCAAACCTGCCCGACATGCACAAAAAATTCAACACAAAATTTTCATCCTCATTATCTGGATAGTGGGCCACTACTGTGTCCCACTGTGGTGTCTCCACTACTGTGCGCTTTTCGAAACACTCTTTGCCCCGCACGACCAATCTGTGGAACGGGTTATCGTCTGCGGTATTTCCGGACCGATACGACCTTCAAACCTTCAAGAAAAGAGCGTACTCCTGAGTTACAGATGTTCATAGGCAGCGATAGTCACTTTCCATCAAGTGTCCCGTCTGCTCGTCTGCCCCCCCTAACATAAAAAAAAACCACAAAGTTTCATTAAAAACGGTCCAGCCGTTTCGGAGGAGTTTGGTAACAAACACCGCGACACGAGAATTTTATATATTAGAAAGAAATTAATCACTTACCCTGGTAAATTTTCGAGATGATTAAAACTCATTTCCAAGAATTCCAGATTTTTGATACCATAGAAAACAGTTTTGGACAATTCTTTCACTCTGTTTTTTTTCAAACCCAGGTACTTCAAAGAAGAAAGAGTACTGAATACGCCGGGTGGGAGATCCTCGATTAGATTGTAACTTAGGGATAGATATTCAATGTTTTGAGAGCCGGAGAACAAGGATTCGGGGAGACGCCGAATTTTATTGGACTCTAAAATTATTTTCTTCAATGAGGGTAGATTTGAAAGTGCTCGGTCATCGAACGTTAGTTCTACGTCGTTAAATTTTAAAGTTATCTGAAAAAAAAAGAACTTTATCATGGGAGAGTCATACTTAATTTGTGTCGTCTCGACTGGAGTGATAACGCGATCGCCGGGTATTGTGGGTTCGATCACCACATAATGCAAATCTTTGTGTGATCAAAAAATTTTTAGTCTAGGTGCTATTTGTGTCCATTTCATGTACGTTTTTAAAATAGGCGATTCATTCCTATGCGACATAGGAGATATTCCTATTGCGGAAGTTGTCAAAAAAGAAGAAGAAAAAAATGGTGGAACACTTTAGTGGCTATTACTAAACTTTTCGAGTTTGGACTCATTTGATACGTTTTCTCCAGTCCAAGATTTGGTAGATAATCTGATGATGAAGCCAGGAGGTGAATAGAGGATTTTGGTACTTACATTTTGAAGTTCTTTCAAGTTACCCAAAAGCCCATCCGGTAGGATTAGGAGCTGATTTTTCATCAAGTACAAATCACCCAGCTTTGGAAGGTCATCCAGGGTCCCAGGTTCAATATATTTTATTTTGTTCGTGCTCAGAGACAATTTTCTTAATTCGTCAAGACCTGGAAATTGAATTAAACCTCTTACAATACAGTCATACCTTTTTTATGGAATCGAGTAAGAAACAAACTAATTTTTTTTTTATGAAAGTGGGAGCAAACGAGCAGACGGGTCTCCTGATGGAAAGCGACTACCGCCGCCCATGAACGCCTGCAACTCAGGAGTCACAAGCGCGTTGCCGACCTTTGAGGAAGGAGTACGCTCCTTTTAACCGCTTTCAAAAAGGAGGAGGTTATCAATTCGGATGTTTATATTTTTTTTATGTATGTTCGGGCATAACTCCGTTACATATAGACAGATTTTAAAAATGTTTTTTTTTTGTTTTTATTCCGAAATGGTCTCATTTAAATTTCATATAGATCTGATGATGAGTTTCGGAGACAGACAACGGAACTCTTCAATAAATGACAGCAAATCAACCGCGATTGCTGCTAGGTTTTAGTGCGCTTTGTTACTACTGTTTGAAGACGGTTCAACTTTTTAAAGAAGGATTTTTTACTATTTTTAGCAATTTAAGGTAAAGTTTTCATGTTAACTTGTCTAAGCTAAATAATTATTTTTTAATTATGATAAGTTATTATCGCCCCCTTAAACCCTTAAATTCAAAAGTGCACCACGCCTTTTGAGCCCGTCTCCCAATCAGCAGGTCCCTTTTTTCTTTTCTTTTCGACAATCCCTAAAAAATCAAGAATAACTTGAAGACGTTTTCTGTGAGGTCATGGTCTACGTTTGAACCAGCCCGCCAAAGCATGGCCTTCCCACGGTACCCGCTAACACAGGGAGGACAGAAATATTGCCCCTAGCAGAAGCAGGCCGGGTTGGCGGCGAGACGCGCTACGCGCGCGTCCGTTCAAGAGCACAAAGTGCCATGGATGACCCGAGGTACGTCAGAGTACCAGAGATCTCTTTTTAGGGTACACCGTGCGGGGTGCGGTGTTGGTCGGTTTGACTCCGACATCACTCACTCACTCACTCATGATCAGTTGAGCAGTTAAGGCGTGGATACGTTACAAACGAACTCACATGTCCATTTATTTTGTTAGTTAGGTATTGATATACCTAACTCTATTCATTGGTGACATGACAGACAAAACCCATAACGCTTACGAGGAAGGTAAATAATTTCAGAATAATTGATATTTCTATGTATACAATAAAAAACCTACATTATTGACTGCACGGATGGCGTAGTGGTTTAAGCGTGGGATCGATCCCCACATGGGACAACACTTTGTGTGATCACAAACTGTTGTTCTGGGTCTGGGTGTTTTTTGTGTGCGTTTTATGTATGTATGTAAAGTTCGACACAGGATATGTACCTAGTGCGGGAGTTGTGTTTTCTTTTAAAAGAATAAAAGCTATTGTACATTTAGGGATTGAATAAAATCACAATCATCTGTTATGAACCATATAATCGCTACCTATTACCGTCAACTGGACAGGTCGTCATATATTACAAAATACATACATAATTATAGATAAATTTCATCCAGACAAAAATGATGGTGCTTATCACACATTATTCATCCTGGGTGGGAATCGAACCCACCACCACTGGCTAAGCAGTCAGTATTTCTAACAACTAGACCAAAAGACCCGTTATCGGAGCCTCCCCTCTAGTTGACTCTAAAATTGAACGTGCCAATGGCTCTATTTACTAAAATTTAGCTCCATATGCTTAATGAATGATGGAATGTTTGCTTTCCTCTCCTAATTTAGCCGTGCCAGACAGGGTCCATTTATAAAACCTGTGTATTCAATTATAAGATTTTTGGAGAGCCATGCTTCGGCACGAATGGACCGGCTCGACCGGAGTGATACCACGGCCTCACAGAAAACCGGTGTTAAGCAATTCTTTCGTTGCCTTTCACTGAGTGAGTGAGGTTACCGGAGCCCAAATCCCGCTGACTCGTGCGGGAGGGACTCCAAGGGCAGCAACGCACTTGTGACTTTTGAGTTGCAAGTTTCCATAAGCGGCGGTAGTTGCTTACCATCAGGTGAGCCGTCTGCTCGTTTGCCTCCTTATATCATAAAAAAAAATATGGAGTAAAATAAACGAATTGGATTGAAGAATCCCTCACTTGAGAAACAGGTCAGACCTGTTGTGTGTTGACCCATCATAATCATCGATACGACCTTCAAACTTTCAAGAAAAGAACCTTACTTAAAGGCCAGCAACGCGCTTGTGACTCCTGAGTTGCATGCGTTCATAGGTGGCGGTAGTCACTTTCCATCAGGTGACCCGTCTGCTCGTTTTTCACCTATATAATAATAATAATAATAATAAAAAGTTTATTAAAACTGAATATATGACTTACCTTTAAAAGACCCGACGCTAATATTTACAATGTTATTTCCCCAAATGTTTAAATGAATCAAGCTGGATAGTCCATTGAAGGAATCTGGTGGGATACTGGTCAATTTGTCTTCATTAAACTCTAGATACGTGAGAGGGGGGGAACCCTCGAAGGCGTGTGGTAATAGCTGCATATTCCCCCCACCTATTCTAACTTCTCGAAGAGTTGGAAGGTTTTTAATGACTGTGATTGGTAGTGTTCTTTGGACTCCTAAAAACATGAAAAATAAACATTAATCAAAAATAACTGAACACATCCTACACGCGACCGTCTGATCCCAAACTAGACAGAGACTTCACCAGATTCCCGATAAACATACTTATATATTACTAAATACATACATATTACACTCCATTTATTACCCATGTAAGAACAGATATCGGTGCTCCGTGTGGTGACGGATTAAGAATACGGAATATCACCACCCTTATTCATCCCGTGGGTGTCGTAAGTGCCGACTAAGGGACCAAACTACAAGACAACAGCACTGCAAAGAGAAGGAAAACTTGAAACAAACCGTATACCAATCCGTCTGGCCAGCGTGGTATAGTAAGCCAAAACCTCCTGTCTTAGGAGAGGCCTATGTCCAGCAGTGTACTACAGAGCATGATCTCCGACTTGTACTTGAATACATGGGCAAGACCTCTTAAATCAATTATGAGGGCGCCTGAACTTCTAGACTCCACCAAAGTCATGTTCTAGCTCCTGAGAAAAGTCTATTTATAACGGAACACCACCCCAACGACATAAATCAAATAGGGGTTTCCTCGCTACAAAGATAACAAATCCACTTACTAGCATCTCTCAAAGTCAAGGCATTAACTGAGCCAAGACTCCCAACGTCCTCTCCAGACAATGGTTCCGTCATCTTCAGCAGAGTGACTCTGTTTATAGATGGTGCTTCGACTACATCGTTGATACATCTCAGTATACTCGGTGGGCAATATTTTAGTCCTATGCTAGGCAGAGGTTGGCCGCTGGCGAAGTCGAAGTAAGGAAGGTCCGTACAGTTGATGTTTGATCCCTGGAATGAGAAGATACAAATTAAAACATTTTAATTATTGCATGCATACAAATAGGCATCATGGCAAGGACGCTGCAGGATCTACAACAAATGCCTAATGAAATAGCAGACTCTTCTGTCTGTCATCTGAGTCTACTCATCGTTGATCCCACAGTGCCTTAAGACGAAAGTCTTTCATGAGTGCGTCCTATCCGTCAAGACATACGGAGCCGAAACGTGGACACTTACGGTACGGTTAGCCTACAAGTTCAAAGTCGCTCAACGTGCTATGGAAAGGGCTATGCTCGGCGTTTCTCTCAGGAATCGCATCAGGAATGAGGTGATCCGGCAGAGAACCAAGGTCACCGACATAGCCTACCGGATCAGCCAGCTGAAGTGGCAGTAGGCTGGCCATATAAGCCGCAGAACCGACAACCGTTGGAGAAAGACGAATTTCTGAACAGAATTTCAACCTATCTGTGGAAGGGGTGATCGTCTGCGGTATTTCCGGACCGATACGACCCTCTGACCTCAAACTCAGGTGACCGGTCTGCTCGTCTGCCCCCTCTAAAAAAAAGGAATACCGGATCAGAATTTATTCGATCCAGGAACTAAGTCCAGCTCTTTACTATCACTCGCAAATAAAACGACATCACATGCCAGGCTCCGAGCAAAGAAGTTTGAACTCACTTCACATATAACATTCACGTAATCATTTTTCTTCGCTCTAAAAGTGATGGTAGCGTTGGGAAGTTGGCAGATATACTCGTGCTCTTCTTTCACCACCATCTGACAATAGTCACGGTTTTGCGCCAAAGTCAGCGCTTGCAGAAGCAGCGCGACTACAACAATTGCCCGCATTCTCTGGTTACTGCACCATTACTGTGGACAAAGAACAATAGAGTTAAATTCTTCTATAAATTAGTTGGTGTCCTGTCCGTGTGGTGACGGATTAAGAATACAAATTGTCACCACCCCAATTCATCCCGTGGGTGTCGTAAGAGCCGACTAAGGGAGCAAACTAAGCAGGACAACAGCACTGCAAAGAGAAGGAAAACTTGAAACAAACCCTATATCAACCCGTCTGGCCAGCGTGGTATAGTAGGCCAAAACCTCTTTTCTAAGGAGAGGCCTATGTCCAGCAGTGGACTAGTATAGGCTGTTGATGATGATTGATGATAAATTATAAATTAAATAACTTCAGACATCTCACACACGGCAGAAAAAAAAAAAAAAAAAAAAAAGGTAAAGCCTGTGTTATCGTAACCAGACTGCTGGTGAACTTGCTTTAATATTTGTAAATACATAAATATCGTAGATAAATTACACTCAGAAACACAACAAACGATCGTGCTCATCACACAACTATTTTCTCTGGGTGGAAGTCGAACCCTCGACCTCTGGCTTAACAGTCAGATCCACTAGAGCAATAGGCCAGTCAACTCAACTCAACTTTTGGTTAATGGCTTTGTGGTAGAGTGTAACCACAATTTCACCAATGTCATGTATTCGAAAGACAAACTGTCCAATAGGCCAGTCAAAACCAGTCAAAAACAATCGGGTAAAGTGACTACTGTTTTTGTGTAATGTCAATCCTGAGATGACCAATCCTGACAATGGCACTAAGACCAGCTTCGCACGGCTGCAATGTATCACATTCCAAGTCTTTGAAATTCTCGGATTTTCTCTACCATAATATGCATGTAATAATTTCCAACCATATTTTATATCTTGTTAGATCCATTTTATATTATAACTAGCTGACCCGCGCAACTTCGTCTGCGTCTCTCAATAGTAATAAATTTTCTCCGTTTTTGAAACATTCTTCATTGGTGCTCCGCTCCTATTGGTCTTAGCGTGATGATATATAGCCTTTAGCCTTCCTCGATAAATGGGCTATCTAACACTCAAAGAATTTTTCAAATCGGACCAGTAGTTCCTTAGATTAGCGCGTTCAAACAAACTAACTCTTCAGCTTTATAATATTAGTATAGATAAATCAAATGAAAAAAAAATATTACCAGATCCATATGGATCTGGCACATGGATCCTCTGAGATTGAACCATTTAGTCTCATACTTTTTAAGGGTAGTTTTGAAAAATTAGTAACAACTTTTTTTAGTATTTTAATAAAGAGTATTTACCGTGAGTTTGAAAACGCTACTACCAAAAATTACAAAGGGTTATATAATTTCCAACCCCCATTATGCACACTTAGGGTTGGAATTTTTGAAAAATAATTTCTTAGTGCACATCTACGTACCCCAAGGAACATTTGTGCAAAATTTCATCTAGACCCAGCGGATTTAGCTGTGCGTTTATAGATCAGGTTTTTTTCATCCTTACACGGTTATTTGCACGATACCTATGCCTAAAAACCAGTTTAAATATTTTTTGCCTGTCTGTTTGTTCTGGATAATCTTCAAAACAGCTGGACAAATTCTGATAACATTTTACTTACTACAAAGTATAGCTGTCTATATAAGGAGTAACATGGGCTATTTTTTATCTCAGAAAACCCTATATAATTCTGCCTGGTTCGGGAATCGATCTCACTAAGGCAGTGCTTTTCAAGTTATAGATATAGTGTGTAAATAAACATGAAATCATATGCTGAACTTTATCAATTATTGCGCAGTTGACCGGTGGCCATGTGTGCCGGCGAACTGATAAACATGGCAGTCTGTTTTTTACCCGACTACGCCTGAAGGAGTATTTGAATGAATATTTCTTTGGCATGCTCTGTAGTCTTAACGACTTGATGTATTTTGACTACATCAAGTCGTGAGTGATTAATTGTGAGATATTACCCATATCTCACAATTACGAAAATTATAAAAATTAAATTCACCGGTTTGTAAATTTTAAGTACTAATACATTTCAAAGCGGTCTGGTTTCTTTTTAATATATTTCAATAATTAGCTTGTTCAAAATAATATCTGTGCACAAAGTATGGACTTTTCAACAGATAATCAGACGCAAAAAAGAAATCTCGAACAAATAACTCGGACACATGTCACACACCGCCGTCTGATCCAAAACTAAATAGAGCCTGTGCTATGGTAACCAAACTATTGATAAACATACATATATATTTAACTAGCTGACCCTGCAAACGTTGTTTTGCCAATTTTTTTTTAATTTTCAACGCCCCCGCACAGCCCTCTGGGGATGGAATTTCGTAAAATCCGTTCTTAGCTGACCTCTACTCGGTGAAAAGAATATTCCTACCAAATTTCAAGTCTTTAGCTCTAATGGTTCCAGAGATATCGTGATGAGTGACTATATACGTGGAAATCTCTTATATATATATATACTAAATACAAATGTATCTTTACATAGTATAGATTAAAGTCGCTTTTTTGTGTTGTACGCTTATATCTTATAAACTAAGCAACGGATTTTAATGTGGTTTTCACCAATAGAGAGAGTGATTCAAGAGTAAGGTTTATATGTATAATACATTCATATTAAAGTAGAGAAAACCCAAAAATTTAAAATATTTGTTGTGAAAAACATGTTTTGTGCGCTTACATTGCAAACGCTGGCTACACCTTACGAGATATACCTAAATAATGTACCACGGAATTGTATATCTATCTATATATATATGTCTATCTATTAAGGGTAACCGACAGTACCCATTTTTATATTTTATATATTACAACAAAAATAGGTTATTTACGAAGCTAAAACAATACAATATTATTCTTTATTCAATTAAATAAGATAGAGATAATAGTTAGAAAAGTTGTGCATATAATGTAGAATAAAATTGCTCTTTGCAGCATATCATTAAAATGAATATTTTAGAAGATATCAGAGGTTTAAAATGCGGGGACCCAACGGCCGTCGAGCTTTATGTCCGTCTCGGGCGCAGCGGCCGGCAGTATCGGAGCGGGCCTATAAATATTGCATTTAAAGATGTATTGTAGTATAGTCCTATCATAATAATAGTCGTAATAATAATAATCATCCGTGTGGTGACAGAAAAAAAAGTTTTTTTTTGTATAAAAGACAACTCCCGCGTTAAGAACATATCCTGTGTCTTAGTACACACCTACGTCAACTAAGTAACATTTGTGCGTTCTGCTACACACAGGAGTTTCTTTTATTTATATGGATTACGATGTGTACTTGGCTGGAGGCCATACGTCCACAAACTGATAAACATGGCCGACTGTTTTTTTTTTAAATAATATCAGAACGAAATACGGAGTTCCCAACTGATACTGTAATCTATGTTGCCGGGTCATGGATGGGTGGGAATACAGTTAGGTATGTTTATTATTTAGTAATTTTGCATCGTGATGGAAAGTGACCATCGCCGACCATGAACGTCTGTAACTCAGACGTCTGCCGGCCTTTTAGGAAGGAGTACGCTCTTTTCTTGAACGTTTTAAGGTCGTATCGATCCAGAAATACCGCAGACGATAACCCGTTCCATTGATTTTATTTTATTTGGAGTGATACTACGCTTACATCATTTGGTAGGACACCACTGACTGCACGGATGGCTGGCTGGGTTTAAGCGGCGCTTACTACTACGCTACGTCCGATCCCCACATGGGACGACACTTTGTGTGATCTACAAATTGTTGTACTGAGTCTGGGTGTTCTTTGTGTCCGTTTCATGTATGTTTGTAAAGTCCCCCGCGACACAGGATATATTCATAATGCGGGAGTTGTCTTTAAAAATAAATTCTATATTCACTCAAGTCTTAGGGTAGTAGATAGAGGTGTACTACAGCCGCATTTTGCAGACTTTAATAACATTTTATCCCAGTAATAAGAGGATTGCGGCTAACAGGGAGCTTACATTTTTAAATAAACTTTCTTGTATATTCTAGACCCATACATATATATATATGTGACAAAAACAACATTTTTAAATAAAGTTTGAAAAATATTGAAATTTTATAGCACTATATTTCAAAAATAAATAAAAGCCATCATCACAGACATACATCATCTGTGAAAATTTCAACTGTCTAACTATCACGGTTCATGAGATACAGCCTGGTGACAGACGGACAGACAGACAGACAGCGGAGTCTTAGTAATAGGGTCCCGTTTTACCCTTTGGGTACGGAACTCTAAGAAGTATCGTCCGAATTCTTGTGTTCTTCATAACAAGTGTGTTGTGTTTCATATGTTTTTGTGTGCGTCAAGTGTTTGTGTAAAAATAAAAAAAAACTCTTTCTTTCTAACTTTAAAAAGCTAAAAGAAACTGCCAAAAAAAGAACCTTGTTCTTAAAAAGACAATGAAAATTTTAATAAAATTTTGACAATTAACTAAAGTTTGTCGTCATTTTTTAACTTCAACACAGAATATTGAAATTATAATGTTAAAGTGAGTTCGTTTGTTTGTCACGCTTTCACGCCTAAACCACTAAACCGATTTGAAAAATTATTTTACCAATGGAAAGCTCCATTATACACACAACACAACATATACTATTTAAGACATACACGCAAGCGGGGCCGGGGGCAAAAGCTTGCTGATTATAATTAAACAATAACAACAAAACACTTACACATTTAAAAAAAATACAACAATTTATCTGCAAACTTGAGAATAATAATTAAAATAACTAAACAATTAAGATCCCTTCACGCAAGCGCAGCCCGAACTCAACTGAACCGACGCGTTCAGATAACTTCGGAAATAATTTACAATATAAACATATGTTAATATTATCTGTTTTGCGCACATTTTAATTTTATCCGATTCTCTGTACGTATGTACACATTAAAGCGGCGGTAGGCTAGTGGTTAAGGCGACTTG